GTGGGTGTAGGTGTATATGTGGGTGGAGGTGTATATGTGGGTGGAGGTGTATATGTGGGTGTAAGTGTATATGTGGGTGGAGGTGTATATGTGGGTGGAGGTGTATATGTGGGTGTATATGTCTTCAGTAGTTACAGAGACAGACGCCTCGCTGTCGTGACCTCATTGGTGTGTAAGTAATTACGTAATGACACCATCATTACTACATGTGTGTGTGTGTGTGTGTGTGTGTGTGTGTGTGTGTCTGGGAAAGTTATCATATACACAAATCAAATGTAAATAAACGGACAATACGTTTTGAATAGAAACTCCTTTTTAAAATGAAGTTCAGTTTTTTAATATTTCTGGTGGCAATTACTAGAGAATTGTCGGAGGCCCAACTGCTGCAGAAGCATGAGGTGGTGTGTTGCTGCTCATTCACCAGCCCCTTCGTCAGCGAGGACCAGGTGGAGAACGCCGAGTCGCTTGCCAACAGCGCCCAGACCGTATCACCCTCCCCCGAGAACCTTCCTGACCGTGAGGAGGACGTGAAAGATCTCCTCCTCCGTCTCAAAGATTTTTTGTCTGGCAAAATGTTCCTCTGTCAGTGCCCATGCAGGAAATCCGGCCGTGACCAGGACAACACCGATTCCTCCTCATTAATTAGCGCCGCCGTCCGCAACTGGCTCTGGGGACCCCAAACACGCAACAAAACGGCCTCGACGAAGAACAAGACGTACCAGGCCAAGGGAAAGAAACACCCAGCTTTGGCCAAGAGAGAGGCCAAGGGAAAGAAACACCCAGCTTTGGCCAAGAGAGAGGCCAAGGGAAAGAAACACCCAGCTTTGGCCAAGAGAGAGGCCAAGGGAAAGAAACACCCAGCTTTGGCCAAGAGAGAGGCCAAGGGAAAGAAACACCCAGCTTTGGCCAAGAGAGAGGCCAAGGGAAAGAAACACCCAGCTTTGGCCAAGAGAGAGGCCAAGGGAAAGAAACACCCAGCTTCGGCCAAGAGAGAGTGCTGGCGAAAGAAACACTCTGAAGCGGTTAAGAGAGAGGCTAAGGGAAAGAAACACTCTGAAGCATAAGAGAGGCTAAGGGAAGAAAACACGAAGCGCATAAGAGAGAGGCTAAGGAAAGAAACACTCCAGCTTTTGCCAAGAAGATAAATGCTCTCACGAGAGAGGCCAAGGGAAGACACTCCAGCTTTGCCAAGAGAGAGCTAAGGGAAAGAAACACCCAGCTTTGGCCAAGAGAGAGGCCAAGGGGAAAGAAAATACCCAGCTTTGCCAAGAGAGAGGCCAAGGGAAAAGAAAACACCCCAGCTTTGCCAAGAGAGGCCAAGGAAAGAAACACCAGCTTTTGCCAAGAAGATAAATGCTCTGCCAAGAGAGAGGCCAAGGGAAAGAAACACGGCTAAGAAGATAAATGCTCTGGCCAAGAGAGAGTGCTAAGGGAAAAGAAATACTCCAAAGCTTAAGCAAGAGAGAAAGCCAAGGAAAGAAACACCCAGTTTTGCCAAGAGAGAGGCCAAGGGAAAGAAACACCCAGCTTTGGCCAAGAAGATAAATGCCCTGGCCAAGAGAGAGGCCAAGGGAAAGAAACACCCAGCTTTGGCCAAGAAGATAAATGCCTTGGCCAAGAGAGAGGCCAAGGGAAAGATGACCAAGAAGGAAATTAAGGAATTAAAACAGGCTTTGAAAAAGAAGATTGTCTTGGTTTCCAAAAAAATGTTCGCCTACCTGTGATGACCTCCACCACCAGGGCCGGTGCTAGGAATTGCGGGGCCCAATTAGAAAATTGATAGTGGGGCCCTCTACTCTACAAAGTCGAAGATTGATGTTTTATATTTCGTGTAGTATGCCCGCCTTAGCCAAAAAGCATTAATTACTTGATATACTAAAAGTTTAAAAACAGTATAAAAGTTTTGATTTTTTATTACAAGTTAAGACAATTACAGACAAACTGTTTATGCACGGACCTTTTAGAAACACACTTTTCTGGCTTTTTTATTTGCAAAATCTTTCAAAATCATTTTAAAGTCAAGGGTTTTGGTAATGTCACTTTCTATAGATAGCATCGCCAAATTGTTTAGTCTTTCTTGTGAAATTGTTGACCGTAAGTATGTTTTAATCAGTTTTAGTTTAGAAAAACTTCTCTCACCCGATGCGACTGTTACGGGCATTGTTAAGTAAATTCTCAAAGCAACAAAAACATTAGGAAATGCAGTGAATCGATTGTTTACTACCAGGTATTCAAACAGGGCTTGGGGCTTGGCGACACTTGTGGGCAGAAAAGTTTTCAGAGCTTCAAGTTCTTCAGCCAACAGATAACCATCTACATCTTTACTTGTTACAGTACCTACCTCTACATCAGTGTTCTGTTTTAGTTTGGTGTCAATTAAAGCTGCTTCAAGGTCTACTGTGTGTTTCCTTATTTCTGCCTTTTGTAAGCCCTGAAAGTTATTTAAAAATCCAAATAATTTTATATGGCTTTTAAGCTGCATAAATCTAGATTCTAGAGATTGAATAGCTTTGTCTAGCACTAAGGTAAAGCACTGAACTCTATATGCTTCTTTTGGATCATCAAAAGCTTGATCTTTTGCCTCATATGAAAACATTCTCTTCCTTCTTTGTAGTCGTTTATCTTGAAATTTCCTAAATTCTAGTGGTAATTCAACAGCTTCAGCCAAATCATTTGCGCCTATTAGGACATCATTAAAACCACTCTCTCTATATTTTCTTAGCCATGATAATAGTTTTTCAAATGACTCCATGCCTTCATCAATGTCCTTTGTTTTACCTTGTAGTTCCTTGCTAACATAGTTAACTTTAAAAAGTAAATCATGCCAAAATATCAAAGAAACTAAAAATTTATAGTCTTTTAGCTGGTTTGCTAAACCTTCTGTCTCTGCTTTTACCTTGGGCTCATCTGTTATCTCTGATGTTTCCACAAGTGCATCATATACTTCTCCAACCTGATAACGAATAGCTTTAACACTATCAATCCGACACTCCCACCTTGTGTCGCTCAAGGGTTTCACTGATAACCCAGGTACATGTTTCTTAAAAAATGCCCACCTCTTTGTTGATGCTGAGAACATTATGTAGATCCTTTGCAAGATCCCAAAAAATGTTATAGCATCTGGACAGCACTTGGCTACATCTCCTAGTAACAGGTTATAATTGTGACATGCGCAGGGTACAAAGAAGGCTCTTGGATTATCCTGCAACAGCCGTGCTTGTACTCCCGATGTGTGACCTTTCATATTGCTACCGTTGTCATAACCTTGGCCTCGAATGTCTTTCACATCCAATTTTAATTCCTCTAGTGTGTTTAATAATGTTTTATATAAATTTTCTCCTGTGCTACTTTCAACCTGCATAAACTGTATGAAATGTTCATAAACACCTGAAGGAGCCAAGTTGCCATCAGAAACATACCTGATCGTTAGAGACATTTGCTCCTGGTGGCTCAAGTCAGGTGTGCAGTCTAAAATTATGGCATAGTACTTAGCTGCTTTTACGCGATTCAGTATCTCATTCAAAACAGCTGTAGCCATAATGTCTAGTAGTTCATTCTGAGTATCTTTTCCTAAATAGTGATTATGAATTTCGTTGGCCTTGACTTTACGTAAATGTTCTTCAAGAACAGAGTCAAACTTTGCAAACAGCTCCACTAAACCTAAAAAGTTTCCATTGTGTACACTCTCATTACCAACTTTTTCTTCTGTCCCTCTTAACGCTAGATTTCTCTCAGCAAGAAACTGCACTATTGCCACTAGCCTTTTGAATACTTGCTGCCAGTACTTTGCATGTTTATTAATAGTTAGTTCACGTTCTTTGTCAATACAGTGAAACTTAGAAAAACACAATCCCTTTTCATTTCGTGGAAACTTGTTCACTGGAATATCAGGAGGCCCTTTCATTGTTAAATAATCTCTTATATTTCTATTTATATTCGATGGCCAACTTGCCGGGTCATCATTAATGTTAATTACAACTGTACTTGTGGATGATCCATCACTGTTTGATGTTTGGGCTTGGCCTTCTGACTCTTCTTTAGCTATAAGTGGACTTCTCACTTTGGCACTGTCTTCTGTTGTATTAAGATCGTCTTCAGTTTGATTCAACTGTGTCTGTGTGTCAACTTGAACTTTTTCAAACTGAATATCAATTTCTTCATTGTATTCATCAACTGTAATTGGACTAATGGCTGTATTGTCATTTTCTGAATCGTTTTTGTCTTCTT